CGATTAGTCTTCGATTAATCGTGGCAGCCCTATTTTTGACACCTGAGAGACACCGTAGCAACTCCTTTGCGTTTGGAAGCGTGGGGTGGGGGTGAGAGGAGGACCAGGGAGGACGATTCAACCACTCAACCACTAGATGTCGCTGAAAACAACAAATCCTACACACTGTGCCTTTAATCAGTGATTCACTTCACTGTGGTAATTTTATTAATATAATATTGTGCTCTCCAGTTAGTGTGATTTACTAAGAATTAATGTTTACACAAGCTGTATTGGTTATCATTTTATAAGTAGACCAATACAGGCAAAAGGGTGTTTTTAAATTGGTGACACGAACAAAAGACATGGATGAAGCTTACAGTTCCTCTACAAATCTGACTATAAATGTGTCAGCTCCAGCTGAAACCTGCAGTCCAAAAAATATATTTTAAAGGTGGTGCACACATGCATATCAGTACACACAAAGCCTGTAAAGTGCACTAATGTATTTAAGCTGCCTGAGTTATGCAGTGCACAATTGTAAAAGCAAAAGTTTATACTGGCACCAAACAATATTTAACAAGAAAACTGGTGCACTTAACTAGATGATGAATTTTAAAACAACCTTCTCACATGCACAATTATGTTTCATCACAGAATATAAAGTTATAATATGACCTCTTTGAATACTGTTATTCTTTGATAAAGTTGTCTATGAGGCAAAAAAACATTTAAAATATCACGTTATTATCTTAACCATATTAAAAACACGCGTATCCTTAAAGAAAAGTCAGTCAATACAAATCAAAACAATTGTGCAGCAACTCTGCGTGTTGACCTTGAAGTTAAACCAGTTTTTAAACACAAACCTAATCCTTCTTTAGTGTTGAACCCACACACATAGTCTGCCATGTGTCAAACAAAARCACAGATTGCAGCCTAAAGAGTTTTGCAACTTCATATTTTCGCTGGGGTAAAAAAAAAAAATTGTTTTACCGAAAGTTAGCAAGYTTGGAGCTAGGCATGCTAATGCTAAAGATGCTACATAGCGTTCAAAGCCAATGCATTAGCTTAGCCACCTAGCATCCATGAGTTTGTTTTCGTCATGAAACTAGACGCGTACAGCACCACTTATTTATCAGCACTGACAAAAAAAAAAAAAAAAAAAAAAAAAAA